ACATGCTTTTCTCTCTGACAGCTCAGTTATAAAGAACCAGAAGCACATGCTCACACATAGAATCATAGAATGGTCAGGGTTGGAAAGGACCTTAAGATCATCTAGTTCCGACCCCCTGTGAAGTGTATGGCTAAGTATTTAAGTATTTTTGATTTCAGGTGGAAGAGGATGGTATTACTGTGTTGTGAAGGATATCACACATCTCTAAATCCATTAGAAAAAACAAAGTTATTGTGAGAAAAGACAACTTCTGCAGTGATACAAGCAATTTTTCCCCTAGGAATCCTTCCTTGAAGTCTGTATTGAAAAATGAGCCTTAAATCTGTATTCCGTGTATTTATGGGTTTTATAACTTCATAGTGATGAAACTCAACCATTAAGGTTGAACTGACACTTTTAAGGTGGAGATGCATTTCTCAGCTTCCTTATTAAATCTATTTTTCCCTGTGTTCCAGGAAGTTCGAGGCGTCCAACAGCAAAATACACTAAAGTAGGGGAGCACCTTCGCCATGTCATTCCTGGCCACATGCAGTGCTCGATGGCATGTGGTGGCCGTGCCTGCAAGTATGAGAACCCAGCTCGATGGAGCGACCAGGAGCAAGCCATTAAAGGGCTCTACTCTTCTTGGTAATAAGCAGCATTTACTCTCACTAAAATGTAATTGCATCAATTGTATTTATTAAAAGAGAGAATTCAAAGGAAAGTAATGATTTCTTTTTAAATCAGCTGCTGCTAAGTATAAAACATAATGATAGCTTGGTTCAGAATTACAACTTAACAGTAAACCGTAATGGCCATTGTACATAGCCCAGTAAAGATGATGAAAGATTTCTGTTGACTTACACTAAGTTTGGTTCAGATCCAATAGAGTATCTATCTGCAAGAATTACAAAGAACCTGCTCTGGGTTATAGATAGTCCTTGCTGAGGTTTAAAATGCAAAAGAATTAAAATGTGTTCATAATAGAATTTGGAAGTAAAAACATTTACTAAAGATGAAATAATGTAAGATGCATGTTCAGAAACATGCTTATGTGCAGTAAAAGTCACATGAAATGTGTCTCTACATTCTTACTGATTTTTTTGTAACAGCAAGTGCTGTTCAGCACATACAGACCTTAAAATGCCAAACAGATCTGAATTTTTTAGCATGTTTATTGGCCTGACATTTAAAGAGTTCCAGTAATGGTCTTTTGATTGTGTCGTATCCATATCAGCTTAACAAGATTTATCACTAACACTGTATGATAATAAAATTTACTGAAAAATCACTTCTAGTTAATCAGCAAGATATGTCTGTTAGTTATTACAAAGTATTCTTATTTTGGTAGATTCATACCCAGGGAATTATTAACAACAACACTATTATCTACTTTTCTAATTCCTCAGGATTACAGATAACATACTGGCTATGGCTCGACCCTCAACAGAATTAATTGAAAAGTACAAAATTATTGAACAGTTTGAAAGGTAACAAATTTAGTCATTATTCATTGTAGGTATTACTAGTGTAATTCTTGATCCATATTCTCCTTCAACATAGATTTGGATTGTTGATAAAGATCCTTTCATTTTAACGATAGACAGGTAAAGATTTATTCTCCACTAAGAATAAATATATGTTTCAGAAAATAAGGAATAATAAGATTTTGGCTGCATATAATACCTTGACTCATCTATTCCTTCCTCAAGATGTGGCATAAAAACCATAATTAACCTCCAGCGTCCTGGGGAGCATGCGAGCTGTGGGAATCCACTAGAACAAGAGAGCGGCTTCACCTACCTTCCTGAAGCTTTCATGGAGGCTGGAAGTGAGTCCACTCCTGCTGCTCTTCCTCATTAATTATTGATTTTGGCACTTAAAGGTGTTTTCACTTGCATTATTTTGTGTTAAAAGCAGCTGTGTAAGGAATGTTGCACAAAATGGGATGTAAACATGAAACTTGGCAAATAAAATTGAGAGTGAATAACACATTGTTGAAGGTCATCAATATCTAGAGTGAGACAGAGGGTTTATGTTCTGGTGTTTAGAGTAAAGACAGGACAAGAACTGGTTAAATCTATCTTTTTCTTCTGGGTTCACAATTAATGTGACCACCATTAATGACATTTCAAATTCTGGTACAATTCCTGTTTTCTTATTTAGACTATTCATTAGAGGACATCTGCAGTGACAGTATTTTTGTATTTTCATATTATGGTGAGATGAGAAAAAATGCCTCTCTGTAGGAAGCAGCTTTTGACTGAAGTGCTTTTATTTCTAAGTAGAAAAAATTACCCTCTCCCTATATATAGCTCAGTAATTTTGGTATGAATCACTGCATTTTGTTACACCTTTTACATTCTTGCTGCACCTCAGTTTGACGATCTTCACTAGCTTCATGTATTTATCAAAATAGCAAGCATACAGTGCAAAGGGAAAATAGTGTCTTGCACACAATATGTAGTCAGAGTCTAAGGTCTATTCTGCAGTTCTAGTGCTCTCATTTATTAGTCATCTCTCTGCTGTGTATAGTACTGAAAACTTCACATTGGGTACAGCAGAAAATAACTCTCTTTTTATTTTAGTTTATTTTTATAATTTTGGATGGAAGGACTATGGAGTGGCATCTCTCACTACTATACTGGATATGGTAAAAGTCATGGCTTTCGCCTTGCAGGAAGGGAGGGTAGCTGTGCACTGTCATGCAGGACTTGGACGAACAGGTATGTGCTCTCCTGCAAGATCAACAGAATTCTTTTTCTCTGGTTAGAAATGATTAATAATTTGTTTTGATTCTGTATCATTGCAAGATTTACATCTGTAAAATGGTTAAAAATGCTAAACACATTTGTGAAAATTATCTGAATGGCTACAGATCAGCTTCAGTATATTAAAAACAGGACCTGTAATGTTAGAGAGTTTTTGAATCTGTATAATAATTCCCTGTTCCATTCAAATGGGACACCTTTGTTTTTTAATAGGAAAAATTCACCTAGGTCACATTCATTGTCCAGTATTTATTACATGGTTACAAACTTGCCACTCATTTTTAGATGAGGTGGATTTGGTGGAGCAGCTAGACTCTCTTACTTTCAAGACCTTTTTGCCCCATTGCTCCTGTGTTCACAGATGATGGAACTCCCAGAGATGCTGTGGTGAGAAACTAGCTCTCACTGAAAGTGCACTGAGATGGGTTTGCTATCTTGTGACCCAACAAATGCAACTATACTTCAGTAATAACATCATGTGATAGAGGCATAAAGCCTGTATCTTCACCTATATTAATTTTTATCCTATAATTCCACTAAGTATTTGGTTTAGTCTGAGAGTTCTTCAACTAATGCTTGTCTTTGTATTTTCCAGGTGTTCTAATAGCTTGCTACTTAGTTTTTGCAACAAGAATGAGTGCTGATCAAGCCATTCTTTTTGTCAGAGCAAAAAGGCCTAATTCTATTCAGACAAGAGGGCAGTTATTATGCATCAGAGAATTCACTCAGTTTTTGGTTCCTCTGAGAAATGTATTTGCATGCTGTGAGCCCAAGGCGCACACAGTGACCCTGTCTCAGTACCTGACCCGTCAGAGGCATCTGCTCCATGGTTATGAGAGTAGGCATCTCAAACACGTGCCAAAACTTATTCATCTAGTTTGCAAGCTGTTGCTAGACTTGGCTGAAAACAGACAAGTGATAGAGGCAGAACTGTTAGATCTGCCAGATCTCTCAGCTGAAATTGAAAAGACTGTTTCTCAGTTGGTGTCCACAGAGCTGGACAGAGAACTCATGAGGCAGGACAGTGATACATCCGACTCCCACACCCACTCCTCCACTTTTGAGACCCAGGATTCTCTTTTCTCTCTGGGACATGAATGTGATCCTCTTTGGAAAAGAAGGAATGTTGAATGCCTCCAGCCTCTTAGTCATCTGAAAAGACGTCTAAGCTATAGTGAGTCAGATTTAAGGAGAACTGAGTTTCTTTTAGAGCAAGGAGAAACTGCCTGGACAGTACCTGCTCAGATATTGCTGTGCAACAAACTTAAGCAGAACAGTGGTGAGGAATGTCCTGCCACAGGTGACCAAAAGCCACAGTTTGATTTACACAAAGAAGCACTAGTGCGTAATACATGCATGTTCTGGAGTCAAGGTAAATTTAATCTGGATGGACGAGAAGATGGATCCTCACTTCATCACCGAAGGAACTCTACCAAGGAAGTGCAACGCAGCAGAACCTTCTCTTCAGGTCTATCATCTATCCACAACACCAGGGAACCTGGAACACTAAGGCATAATTTTACCAATGAGACTGGTCATAGAAAAGGCCACAAGACTAATATGTATGGCAGAAGAGTCTATGTCTCCGAGGACTCGGATTCTTCTTCTTCTTCTTCTAAAGTAAACTTTTCCATTGGATGTGAAAGCCAAGGGAGCAAAGATGTGTCAGAGGCAATTCCACATATTGTTCTACAATCAGAATTAAGCTTGGAAGCCCGAAGAGTTTTGGCAGCAAAAGCACTTGCAGATATAAATGAATTTCTGGGAGAGGATGAAGTGAAGCAGAAGGTAGAAATGTGGCAGGTAATTCTTAACTTGATTCAATGTTATGGGCTCTGCATATTTCATGTAGGTTAATTCCTAGGTGGCAAAAATGCCACCATGAGCTTTGAAATGGCACCCTGGGACACCAGTTTATACTGTGGTTCAGTGAATGACTGCACATGTCAGTTATAGGCCAGTTCTTTCAGAAGCAGGAAAAATGCACCTACAATTTTGGTCTCTAGCAGGAGGTTAGAACATTGCTTCTGGTTGTGTTCATTCTTTTTAGTGACTAATAATAACTGATGCAGTTATTAGTGGTTGTAACTTGGCTGCTGGTAGCACGAAAGTACTACAGGTTTTCAGGTAGAGCTATGTTGATTTTAATCAGTGCTTTCTCAGAACTCATCAGAGGATTGTGTGTGTGAAACAATTCAGTAGAAACTTCAATGCTTATCCTCAAACCCAAATCCTCCTGGCAATGTTTGAAGTTGGAATCCAACCTGGTTTACGTATTCTAGTAGATAATGGGGAGGTTCTGAGCTGCACTGTTTATGTCACTCTTCTGTTTTAAGGAATCACTTGTATTACTGTTGGTAAATGTTGATGCCTTGTAAAAAACTAGAGTTTTAAATTTTTGTGCAACTCTTAAGTCTTTTTTCTTCATTAGAACATAAGCAAGGGGAATGTAGGCAAAAGGAAAGAGATGATGCATTTTCAGTTTTGTTCTGTTTTGGTTTTTGTTTTGTTTTGAAGAAAGAACTGAATGCTCGAGATGGAGCTTGGGATAAAATCTGTACTGAGAGAGATCCTTTTATTCTCTGTAACTTGATGTGGTCCTGGATAGAGCAGCTGAAAGAACCTATTATATCCAAAGATGATGTTGACATGCTGGCACAAAAATGCACAGAGTCACAGGATGCACTATACCTACTGAGAAAGGTAGATCTGTCAATTCATTCTTTAACTGCCAAGTACATTTTGTTAATGCATGTTAAACTATTCATTTATGGCCTTCAGACACGGGAATTGCACTTGACTTCAATCTCTTCCAAAATCAGAATGAAGATTATTTTGGCATTGAAGAGTGCAAGTTTTAATCAGTACTATGATGATGAATATTATAGGAAAAATACCAGATACTGTCTCTGAACACTGCTCAGTAGAAGCTCACCTTCAGCATATTCCCCTGCACGTTCTGCAGTATAAGATCTACAGGCAAAGATGAGAAACGTTCTCTCTGTGACTCGATGGATGGCTTTTGTTAATGTCACACCTGACAGCTGTGCTTCATGGCTGTCGGATCTGCTGTGCAAACATCCTAATCCATCAGCACTGGAAGAGCTGGGGCAAGGAATAGGTAGAATTTGCCAATTCAAGGAATCAGAAGCCAGGCCAAATTCTTCTACCTACATCAGAACTGTGGCCATCTGTATTCTGAAATCTCTATGAAAAACAGGTACTTCTGATCCCAGCTGTTTAACTGTGCTTTCCCCAAAGGGCTAGATGTGAGGTACATAAAAAAAACAAACCAAACAAACACCCCCTTCTATTGTGCTTACACAATTTCATTTCCTAATTCTCCGTTTCTGAAGTATTTATGAGGAAAATAGGGCCCTTTTTAACAGCCTACAGATATCCAAGAATACAGCTTCTTATCAATAGGTGGTCAGAACTCTATGTGCAGTCACCATCTTCATGACATGACATTCAGAATAACCGAGTTCATCTAAAACCATCATGTTTCTTCCTGAAGCATTCTTCCACTCTGTCAGTCTTAACTTTCTATTTATATGAAATGAAAAATTCCTGCCTGACACGTTATAAATGAATGGAAATCATTAATAATTATGGGGGGTTTAAATTTAAAAATATTAGTTTTATCTTACGTTATCCTAAATTGTTTTGGAATCACAGAATAGTTGACAGGAAACTCTGGATATCTTCTAGTCCAACTGCCCTTCTCCAGAGTCAGCAAGAGCAGGTTGCTTGTATGTGAGATGCTCCAGTCCCTTAATTATCTTTGTGGCCCCTCATTAGACTTGTCCTAGTGTGTCAATGTCCCTCTTGTACCAAAGAGCACAGAACTGCACCCAGCAGCCCAGACACGGCACCAGCTGGCAACTCTCTGTTTAATGCAGCCCAGGATGCTTTTAAGCTGCCTTTACTGCAAGGGGCCATTGCTGGCTCATGTTCAACTTTGCATGCATTGGCACACCATGTTCTTTCCCACCAGTCTGGTATCCAGGCAGTCAGCCCCTGGTATGTACTGGTGCATTTTTAGCTGCTCCTCACAGAAATCCCTCAAGTTTTAATCTGTCACTAAGTGAAGTCCCTAGAGTGCTGGTGTGATTTATCTCCCTTGGAAAAGGAATGGAACTAGCACCCATAGAGATAATTCACTCCGTTTGCTAGTGCTGCCCAGTTGTCTTCCTGCAAGCTTTCTTCAGTGGTGAAGGAGATTTGGTAGGACAGACAGAGATGCAGACCATCCTATGACAGTTGGGGAAAGAGCCCTAAACATGCATAGCATCTAGGTCTGAAAAGATCAAATCTCACTTTTTCTATGCCAATTCTCATGAATGCCACTGTTTTATAAGGGATCTTTAAAAACAAGTCTCCAGATGCATGCCCAACCTCCTAGAACTTTCCAGAGCCATTTGTGGTATATTACAAGAGAAGAGTGACTGAAATAATTATATAGGGGCTCTACAGGCTTGTGAAAATTCCTTCCCCAACTCCTACACCTGAAGCTTTCAATACAGGAAGGCAGAGTCTGATATTTAAACAGCACTTAACAAAACCTGAAAGTTAAATGTTCTTCATGAAAATATTTCTTCTAATGAGCTGCTGTTCCTTTTACCCACCAGGAACAGTGTCAGACTATCCTTTGTATTTTACACTGTGTGGTGAACTTGCAAATGCTACCAGCCGATGTGGAGGAGGCCTTACTTGCTCGTGCTATTAAAGCTTTCACTAAGGCAAGTAACCATGTCTTTATTTGGTTTAAATCATGGAGGGTGCATCAACAGAGCAGCCTCTGTGAGGTTAAGTTACAGCAGTTCCTTCACACGTAGTATCCACATGCTTGTCTCTCTCAGAGTTTACATTTTATAATAATCAGCCTACAGAAAAGGGTAGGAAGTATTCTCAGCAACATTAAATTCTGTCACTACAGCCTTCAGTCTAATTTGTCCGTGTTTGGATCACTGCCAATTCATGGACTTCTTCAGATTTGGAAAAAGATAATTTTTTAAGGAGTAAGAATAATTATTCACTGGGAGTAGCTTACCAAAGGCTTCTGTCGATTCTGTACCATTTGGTACAGATTTTGGAGCCTTTCCATCAGATTCAAATCATGTTCTGAATTACACTGCAATTCAGTTATGTTTTGGGTCCTTAATATAGGTTGTGCATAAATAACTTCTGCTTTTAGGATCGTTTAATAGCAGTGCCAGGTTAAGCTCGCCATTGCTCAGCTCAGAGCTTCTTGCTTCTCTGATTGAGCAGGTGAAGTTATTTGAACAGAACATTCATCATTCTGCTTCCTCATCTCTTGTAACCTACAAGAGATTAGGAAGGATGTCGCCTGTTGAAACAAGTGATGTTTCTCCTTCTACTAGTTTGTTTTACTGTCCAGTCAGCATAACATTGAAAATACTCAGCATTAATTACTTCATTATGAAACACAGATTTCCTTTGATAAACCTCAAAACTATTTTTTTTTATGTTCGTCGTCTCCTTTGCATTTTGCTGTATGACATCTATTTAACAACTGAACTTTGATTTCTCCCTTTTATCAGACAAGCTTCGATTCTGAAAATGGACCATATGTGTATAATACCTTGAGAAAAGTATTTCAACAAACACTAGAAGAAAAAAGAAAAAAGCTTAAGGAAGGAACAGAGAATCCCTCTTGATTTCTGCACAGCTATGCTGAAGACTTAGATGGGCCTACGTTTTCCAGCTACTGTATTTTGAGCTATTTGGCATGATTTACCTAACTTTAGGTAATAGCAGTTATTAACAAAGCATTTTATTTTTATAGAGGGCATTCTAGTGACAGTTGTTTTATTTACACAGTTCTAAAGAAGAGCTCCTGTGTACTCCAGCATTTGGTTTCAAGTCCTGTGCTTTTATATTGTGAACTGTTCTCTTGTTTTCAAATGTATTTATTGATTTAGAAACCTCTGTCATTGGCAAGCAACATGACTTTCAAGTTCCACGACTGCCATAAGTTCAGTGCCATGGTACACGAAGGTTTAATGGATGGAATAAATATTTATGAATAATGGATGTTTACATTAATTTTACTTTGCAGAAAATAAAACCTGAACTTACTAAATGTCTTTTGCTTGTAGAAATTTTAAAGTAAGACTAAGAGTACTAATGACCAGATCATGAGGTGTGCTACTGACAGCAGATAATCTTTTCCTTTAGATCTCTTAAATAACTGTCACCGAGGTGTTTCTAAAAGGTGTTGCAGTAGAGAAATACATGAAGTATATCGGGTATTAAGTTACCAAGGCCTTAATTTAGACTTTTTTGGCTAAGAAAACGTTGAAGTGTTTTTAACAGAAAATAGATTGTGGCATTTTAAGTGGTTTGAGTAAGAGTGAAATTTTACCTTATTAGTGAAACTTTTATAGATCTTACTTTAAGTGAGAAAACACCTACTTATCACACCTTAATAGGGATGTAATTCCATCGGTACTTACGTTCAGCCAAACCTTGCATAAATAAGTGTAATATAATAATAGTAAAAAAGAGTTAATGAAAATCTTACCTGCAGTACACTTTGCAAAGGCATTTTTATGTAATAAAACAGAAGAAACTGGGATATCACCATAACTGCAGTTTTTGACCACTGGGATGCCAGTTTGCAGCATTAACAGTTTATCCAGTTAGATAGATTTAAGTAGTTAAACAAAAATATGTTCTTTTCCAAAATATTTTTGTTCAGTACTGTAAATGACTAATACTTAGAGATTAAAATAGACCAGTTTAAAATATATATAAATTAGACATGCTTCAACTGTTAGATGATTGTGTATCAAATTCAGATCCAAACAAGTACTTTGGCAGACTCATCCTAAAGCAAGCACACTTGAAAGTGAATTATTGTGTGTGAATCACACACATGAAACCAGCTTTGTAAAGAGGCAAGGCTGTGTAACATGCAGCGTAATGTTAGCCAGCAAACCTCAGCAGCCAGACTTGGGAATATCAACATGCATGACAAGGGGGAATGGGTTTAAACTTAAACAGGGGAAGTTTAGGTTAGATACAGGGAAGATGTTCTTTACTGTGAGGGTGGTGAGGCACTGGAACAGGTTGTCCAAGAAAGTTGTGAAAGCTCCATCCCTGGTGGTGTTCAAGGCCAGGCTGGACAGAGCCTTGGGTGACAAGCTCTAGGGCGAGGCGTCGCTGCCCATGGCAGGGGATTGGAACTAGATGATCTTCAGGTCCTTCCCAACTCAAACCAGTCTGGGATTCTATGATTTGCAGGTGTCTTAGTTTCCAAGAAATTATTTCGATTTACTACACATAACAGCTTTGACTAACCAGCATCAATGGCTATTATACACTTGGGGTGTAGAAACCAGCTCAGTATTGTTTAAATCGATGTCATTTATTACTCCAGCTAGAATCATCTTTCTGAACTTAATGTCAGGTGTTGGCATTTGAAAAATAACCTATGTGCAGCCCATGTAAATGGGTACTGTAGAAGTGGGTGGGTTTTATTTAGTGATTTTTTTGGTTCACTGACAAATGTGGCTTGTGGTAATGGCCAAACTGGGAAAAAACAAAAACACCCCATCCAAATGAATAATCAAACTTACAAACTTTAGCAGCAGCATATTAATTAATTTGTGACCTGGGTGATGTAAATGCTTAAATACCAAAGAACTCCTTTTCCTTATTACATCTTCATGCCCAAAACTTCACAGCTCTGTGTGACAGCCCTGTGGGTTATGTGTGGGTAGGTTTCTCTTTATGCTCATCACGAGCACTGCTTTGTCATGCTGACACTCCATCACCTAATCCTGCTGCAGCAAAATGGCCATGAGCCAGTGGCAGGATAGGACAGGAGGACCCCAGCTGGCATCTGCTGCCTTTTCTGTTCTTCCAGGAAATTCCTCTCCCATGAGAAGGTCACCTCAGTATCAGCAGCAGCTATGAAGCCCTCTCCTGCAACACCACCCCTGCAGTAAACCACGGAAAATAGAGCCTTACCACAAAGTCATGTCAGCAGTGCAGAATCCTCTGGTGGACAGGATGAAGAGGATGGCCTTGAAAATTACGGCTTTCCAGCAGCTGGTCAGGGCCAGGTGTTAGCAGCAGATGACACAGCAATGTGAATGAACTGGCGTATGGAGCTGCCAAGTACAGAGTGCTCCCGCACACAAGGAAGCCCTCACTAAAGCACTGAGGGAAAACCCGTTATCCATACTTCTCACGGAGAAGCCTTGGAACCCTCTCCCCCTCAGCACCTTTAGACCTTGTTGGCAGTAGTAACTGTGATCTACGTCAAGGCCTCAGAACTAACACAGGCCCAGACACCCTTTAGTCTAAAAAGCCAGGTGCGTACTGCTGTGCCCTCCTGAACTGCCTGATTTGTGCTAATGAACGGCCTTGGCTGTGGATGTGTAGTTTGTTTCAGATCCTGCGAGCACCAGCCACAGCATTAGCAGCACCGCTGAACACTTGTGAATGCTTCAGGCAGCTTCAACACGCTGACCATGGCACCTCTTAGTACCACATGGACACTTGTGTAAGAGCTTTCCACCTTTATTGGGACAAACGGCTGACCCCCGAAGCTGTAGGTCAGATTCTGTCAGCACAACCCCAGCCCCTACCCTGGCGGGGCACCTTCAGCCCCAGCAGGAGGGCGGGAGTTGTGGGATCTTTTCAGCTCAGGCTAAAGAAACCTGGTCTGCTTCCGCTGTGGAGACAGGATTCTTGGTGTGGGTCCAAGGGGAGGCTGAGAGCAACGGTTTTCCAGGCAGAAGCAGTGATTCTTGGTGTTGGGTCCAGCTCAGGGCTGATGGCTTGGATGATTTGATGGTTGAACTGCAGAGAGGTGAGTGTGGGGAGAGGAGGCCAATGAAGCCTCCAACTGCAGACAGGCACACGGACTCTCCTTCACAGCATGGCCCAGAGTTGGCAAGGCCACCATGAGTGCAGCTGCTGGCACACTGTGGCTGATGTGAGCACATACACCTCACAGCACCACCAAGCAGGGGCACTCCTCTGGGTAGATTCACCCATCAGGAGCGAGCACTAGTGCCCATCTTGCTTGTAGGGCAATCTCATCCCCTGCCCCATCTCGTCCTGCCTCTGCCTGTGGCTCGTGAGGGCTGCTCTTGTCCTGGCAGGGTGTTGGAGCTGGCACTGGCTGCAGTCAGAGAAGGGCCAGGAATTCAGAGTCCAACTAAAACATGTGACTGCAGCAGAAACCTCCACCGGTTGTTTTGGCCAACCACCCACTTGCCACTCCGCAGCAGCCCGATGAGAAATGCTTCGTGCCACGAGCGGGCATGAAGGAAGCAGAGTGTGTGTGTGGAAATGACCAACTCACTCTTAGGACTTCCGTCGCCGGTATATGATGAAGCAAAACACAAGTGCAAGAGGCACGGAAATCACAGTGGCTGCTGTGCCGAGGAACGGCACACAGCCTGCTGGTGCGAGGTGCACAAGTGCATTTTGTCC